ATTTCCTTTTTTTCGCCTCCAAATGCTGCCACTGTTCGAATGCCAGATAGCACTTCTTCTGCCATAGCTCCCGCAGTACCGTAAGCTTGGAGCTCTTCTTTCGATGCATTCGCTTGATTCTTTGAAGAACAAACGAATAAAGAGGAAAATTAATTCTTGTAATCAGAATATATATTATTTTGCCAACACATTTATTGCCGAATTCAATTCTTATGGGTTATTATTCTCATAACCCAATCAATATTATAAAGTTTTTAAAACAATCTAAGATTAACATATAAGGTATTTCTCCCACTTCCCTAGCGTGCCTTCGTCGTGTAACGGTAGCACGTTCCGTGGTTCCAAAGTTCCGTGGTTCGATTCCCGGCGAAGGCGGTTGCATATTTTTCATCTTTTCTGCTTCCAAAAATCTAATGACTCTAAAGTGGCCACGAATAAAGGGTTGTGGATGAGATTCTCCGCACCCAGGATTTGGCGACTAGGTCTCCTAAAACCCTAGTCGCCCTTTAAAAGGAGAGTATCGTTACACCTATATAAGAAATCGCTTACGATAAATCAGTAACTTAACTGAGGAATGCTTAAAAAGTTTTTTTTTCCCCTCAGAAAAAGAGTTACGGTATTTAAAAGCCATTTTAGAATTAATTTTAAGTGTACGGCTTTGTTCTCCGTTTGACTGCAATCCGAACGGTCTAAATTTTGACGTGCGCGACTTTCCAGTTTCATTTTTTTTTTCTTTATTTAATTTAAATTTATTTATTATTTTAAGAGTCGTAGTTCTGCTTGTTGCGCCGAAGCAACAAGCAGAAGCAACAAGCAAGAAGCGCCGAAGCAACAAGCAAGATCTTTTGAGAAGTACTAATAAATTTGAAAATTTAATCAAATTTATGTCTTCAAATAATTGAACAAGATTTACATTACAATGTAAATTAATTAGCTTTATGTTTAGAATTTCCGAAGAATTACATTCGTTTTCAGTAAGGAATATATCGGAAAACGGGTCTCCAAGCCATTAAAATCTGAAATTAATTTCCTTCAAATTCTTGTTATAATAATACTAATTATTTTATGGGAAAATATATTCGCACGCAGCATAAAGTTATTTCGAGAGCCGCATTTGGACTCTAGGCCGCCAGTCTGACTTTGACACTGCTTTACTAGAAAACAATAGATATGATTAAAGAAAACAATAGATATTACGCTAGTTTCAAACAGGCGAAGTTAGAGCAGATGCAACATAGTGACGTCATAGTGATGAAAACATGGACCTTATAAGATAAGATATAGACTAACCTAGTGGACGAAGCGCGCATCACCCACAAGTCCACATGAAGGACTAGGGATGATCTAGTTTACTTTAACACTGAAACCTATGGCGTTTGTATCACATAACTGTTTCTAATTATTAAATGTGATACGTTGTATAATGATGATATTATGAAAGTCACAGTTCTTTCAAATAAGATATGTCTCATCAAAGCACTTTTTACTGTATTTTGCGCAATTTTTTCACGCGTAATTCTTATACAAACATTTTTACTTTGGTAAAACGGTAAAAACTCTAAACACAAAATTTATTAAATTACTTTTGAGTACAAATAAAGTAAAATTGAATCAGCCTGATAGTAATTGATGCTTTGAAACAAATAAGGTAAAAGTAAACAAGATCTGATAATTTTCTTTTTATTTTATGAACATTTTCAGGCAGTGGTTTTTAAAATTAATATAACGTTACAAAACTATCATTTATTTGATTATATGATCATTAATTATTGACATTACAAAAGGATTTTTTATTCTAATAATTCATAAAATTCGGAGCATAAACTTTTCTGAGTGTAATGAAAAGAAAAAAAAAAAAGATAAAATAAAATCTGGAAACACTTGGATTTTATATTACGCCCAAAGGAACTTGTTTTAACGTTTCGTATGTTACCTTTATTTATTGAATATCATGTTCTTTACCCGTAAATCATATAAAATTCAATTCAACAGCAATATCACAAAATATTTGAAAACAGCATATCATTAGAATTTCCGCGCTGGAGATAAAAATATTATTTTTCCTACAGTGTTGCCAATGCTCGCTTTGAACTCGTTGAGTTTGTTAATCAAAAATTCATTAAAGTTTTATTAAATATGAAATGTATTAAAAGAAATTCGGCCTTGCCCATGTTCGGGTGGAGGATTACGTTATTCAAAATTTGATGGCTCTAGATACCGTCGTTTTTTCATAGCGCGCGAAACATACATGTATTCATGCATTCATTTCTTCATTTCTTCATTATTTAATATGATTAAATATAATACAGGGCGATAATATTTGGTGGCAACAATTTGCAAGGTGAAACAGACATTTATAGTGAAACAGCACAAAATGCCGTTTCGAAACTAATAGAATTTCTAGGCTACCCGCCCTTTTGAGATAATAAATTAAATTCTCAGTAAATAAAAAGAATATTATGCAGAAATAGAATTAAAGTAATAAAAATAATCACTATAAAATACTAGCACAATTAATTATTACAGTTAAATTCAATTTTAACATTAGTGTGTGTGTGATTATGGTAAAGACTCGAGGGCTATCTGCCTAAGAGAAGGGATGCCTTCGTGGAGGAAGTTTAAGGGAACTGGCTCGTAAACGTTACACAGGGGGAAACACGAAAACGCCAGCAAGCCAGCCCGTTTAGCGGGATTCGAACCTTGGACGAAACTTACCAGTTTCAGCGATTTTGCAAATGTTTACATTAGAATAAATGTATAAAATTTTTTAACGGGTCAAAACAGTTTGAACCTTAAAATAATTGACAAGCAAACATTTACCACTATGAAGCATAATTAAAATTAAAAATTCCTTTATAGAAATTTAATTTCACCTCTAATTTGAAAAAAGCAGCACAAGTGAGACTTTTAAAAAGAAACTTAAAAATAGTTCATTTTTAGGTATTAGTATTTTACTTATTATCCACTGAAAAAACTGGAAGCCCTACTTCACCTAAACCCCTACCCCCCCCCATCTCCCCACCACGTCACTCCATCCCACTCCCCACACCACTCTCACCTACCGTACTCTCTTTCCCCCCCTTATCCACCCCCTACCCTCCTCTCCCCCCCCAAAAACCCCACCATCCCCACTATCCCCCGCCCCCCAACATCCCCTTTGCCCTTCCCTCATATATTCGAGAAATTGATTGTTTGAAATTAGACTATTAGACTCAGATTTAAAATATATTTCTAAAAGAAGTAGTTACAAATTTCCTTACAGCATTTCCAGTCCAAAGAAAATTTCCAGGCCTGAAAGGATGCAACAGCTTCATAATTATTTGAAACGTTAATTATGCTTGTTAATATGCTAAATTTTTAAAAAATCAATATCAGTTTCAAAAATTAAAATCTGTAGAAATTCTAATTTGTGAAATGAGGCGCTACAATTAGCTTTTGCTTGACAATTGTACACGCTGCAATAGCCAACCACTGTTAAGTTTCTGCAAGTCGTCCCTAATCCTAGGGATGTGGTCAAGGGGACAGCCGGGAATGCGTCAGACGAGGGGGAAAACGCATTTGGGTTGGTCTATTTCTTATAAGGTCCATGGACAAAAATCGCGTCAGCGAAGAGTCACACAAAGGAATGAACTATCTCTTCTAAACCCTAGTAAGAATGAACGATTTTTATTAAACAAACTCCGACCATAAAACACAGTTTAATAAATTATATATCAGGATTAAGCAACTCCGTACGATAAACCGGAGAAAAAAATTGCAAAAGGTAAAATGAAATACAAAGACTAAAAATGCCCCATAGAAACCAGTAAAACTTTTTATGGGTACCCATAAGATTTAGGTTTTTATTGACTTATGGTTTCTGTTGGTCTGTGGGGTTTTCTTACTGGTTTCAAAATGACCCAGTAGAAACCAATAAAAAACTTCTACTGGTACCTATAGAATTTGATTGTCTTCACGACTTTTACTGGTTTCTATTGATCTATGGGGTTTTCTTACTGGTACAAATGGGGCAACCATACAAACAACATTTCAATGGAGAAACTTTGTACTGGTTGGTATAGGTTTATATCTGACTTTACGGTTTTCTTACTGGTATCAATATAATAATAATAAATTTCTGTTGTGTACATGGATTTATGCTATTTTTTATCTGCCGTTAATAGGATATTTAAAAATTTTATTAGTTTGGATATTTAAAATTTTTATTTATCGCATTGCGTTGTATTAAAATTACTTTACATGCTTTCTCCGCCATTCGTTCGTGTACATTACAGTGCTAATATGTACTTCTATGTTTATGTTTATGGAAATTTGATTACAGTCTTTGTGTGTATTGTTTTTTATAAGGGATTTTGTATATGGATTTACCCGTTCTATGTATGGATACTCCACTATGGGTATAATGCTATTGGTTCGTTTATGGTTTTTGTTACTGTTTTGTGCGCGATTTCAAGGAGGTACCTTTAGTGGTTGGGACTTTTTGTAGTGGTTGTACAGGATTGGGCATATGGGTGCCCGTATGGTGTACGCTTTTGTTAACTGTTTTACAAGGCATGACCTACGGAATATCCATTTTTTTAATGGAAATTTGGCAATAAATATGCATATAAATTTCTGATTTTTGGTATGGGTTTTACTGGGATTTTGTTTTTTATTTATAGTGCCTGAGTTCTAAGGTTTTCTACAGAGATTTTGGCTACTGTATCCGTACAGTCGTACGGATACGAGTTTCTGTTTACAGGTTTTTATGAATATTGGGCTACAGGTACCCATACAGCCGTGCAGGTTTTTTCTAGGGTTTTTACGGGTATTTGGCCTCTGGTACCCGTACAAAACGTACGTGTTTCGTTTTATGGGTTTTTACGGGTATTTGGCCTACGGGTACCCGTACAACCGTACGGGTTTCGTTCTATAGGTTTTTACGGGGACTTTGCAACGGGTAACCGCCCCCCCCCCCCCCTAACAGTTGTTTGGGCCTACGGGTACCGCACAGAGCTGTACGGGTACCCGTAGGCCGGATTCCACCGTGTAAAAAAAAATTATGGGTCTACGGGGCATTTTAGCAGAGCAGTTAAAGTGCGATTTAAAGTCTTTTTTACAAGTATTCGTTACACCTATA